CCTTAAACAGTACATACTCACATTGTGTGATGTGGTATTGGTAGCTGTGTATTTCTTCCTGTGGGGTAGTAGAGTAGTATGAGCATGACAGGCTACTTTTAGACGCTCATCTTGTAATAATGACTAAATAATGACTTATTTTCTCAAAAATCACTTATGTCACTATTTCACCATACTAAGTCAATATTTAAAAAATAAGTTAATATCTTAGAAAATTATTCATTTTGAGATATTGAGTCAATATTTTGAGAACTATTACTCAGAGATATTAAGCTGATGCTTAAAAAATTAAGCCACTATTTCAAAATACTATGTCAGTATTTTGAGATAAGTCATTATTTTAAAATATTAAGTCATATTAAGTTTCCTTTCTGGAAATGTGGTTTGTGCCTGGTTAATGTTTTTGCCATTTTTCGCCGTAAGGTTTGCCATCATTTTAAGAAAAGAAAACAGGCTGAAGCAAGCTATTCTAGCATAGAGTATCATACTCAGGAGGTATGGGCTGATTATTAATAAAAGATTAAATTTCATGTGATTATTGTGATATATTTAGAAATTTTGTGGTAGTAGTTTTTGTCAATATTATCAAGCACTACTACTCACCCTCTTCTAGCAAACAGAATATAGCATATAACTTTGCATCCAGCTCATGTGTGTATGTTCATGTGTGTGCAAGCCATTTACAATGTTAAACACGCAAGGGTGTCTTGCTCAACAATCACATGCACCACAACTGAGTGCTCTCCTTGAGTAAGCAGACGGTCCATGTATACACACTGCACTTCAATGAGCACCGAAGGAAAAAAAAGGCTGTCAGTTAGGAACCATTAAAATGTAACCGAGCCAAGAGAAGAAAGAAGGGATATTATCATTAAGTCATCTCATAGTCCTACTAAAAACCACAAATATTATTCCTACAGAGCCCTCCTCCCCTCGTAGTGACAGAAGCAGCCAAACGACATCAAATTGCACCATGTTTTTTTTGACAGTCCGCTGCTAAAGTGCACGAGAAAGGCTTTTCATTTTAATTAAATAGGCATGTTCTTCCACAGAACTGTGCTCCCTAGAATGAGATTCTCAGCTTACGCTTAACCAACTGAACGCTCACCAAGTTATGCTAATGTATCTGATCTGTTAAAGAGACAGTTCAGCAAAAATTCCCCAGTTTCCCCCTACTTCAAATGCAATCAATTACAAGTTCACTTCTTTAGTTTTGCACTGGAACAATAAGGCTAGTATAGCCAATAAGTAAAAGAAGCTTATGACCAATTAGCAGTCTGTATTTTGGACAATAAAAATGTGTTGGCTGTCTGATTACATATGGGGTACAGGCAACAATGTGTACATTTTTTGTATGGTGTTTTCAGACCCATTCAACGTGCTTTACAATTTCACAACTTCATATTTGTGTGGTCAGAAAGAGAAGAGAAAATACTTGAAAGCTGTGTGTGTGTGTTGGGTGGTCAGGATCTTGAGCCCTCTGCATTCTTCAGTGTGAGCCGCTGCCCCGGGGGCCGTATAATTGCCCTTTGCTACAGATAGTTACCAGCCTTCCCTCTGTCTTTCTCTCTCCTCCTCTTCTTTTCCCCCTGTTTATTCTCCTCTGATTTCAGCCTCCTCTGGGTCATCATTCATCAGCGGGCCCCCCCAGCCCCTTGGGACCAGACCAGGAGGCCCCTGTTTCTATCCCCTCCATAACCGGAGGCCATTTCTGATGGCCCTGCATTATGAGAGGGCAAAACAGAGAGAGGGAGATTGGGAGAGAGAGAAAAAGCAAAAAACGGGGGTGGTGTTGGGGGGGTTTGCTCGGCAAGTGATTATTGTATCCAGATAATCATTTCAAACAAATTATCATAATTATCAATCAATCATCACATTTGGAGCAAGCCGCCCCCGGGGCAGAGAAAGCGCTCCCCCTGACCTGTAATGTGTTTCTGGGGCATAATAAGCCATCATAAATTTGAGGGGTCGTTGGAGATGAAAATTTTGTACAGGAGGGAAATTTCTTGGCTTGATAAAGCAAACATTAAAGACCTATTTTAATATGACCCCCTCTGCTAACATCGCTGACTCTAGTCCAATCTCTAATCTCCAGCGACCCCCCTCCACCTTCTGCTCCTCTCATGGCTTACTGCATCACTTTCGATTATTCTACATTCTATATTGATAGGTTCCCATCTTTCTTTGTTTTTTGTTAGTTGTGACTTCAAGAAATTACAAACCATGACCAAAATTTAAAGAAATGTCTTTATATTCTGCAAAGCAATAATGCACACAACTGAAAGTTTAGAATGTGCTACTAATTAAACAAAGAACAGGAGCTTCAAGGCATATATTATATATATGTTTTTTGTGTCCCGGTAAAGTGTCCCATTTCAGAAAGAGAACATCTTCTTATGGCAGCGACAACTGGGAAAACAAATTGTTCAAATAATGACCTGGCAGTATAGAAATGGACCTACCGACAAGACATCTTGACATGAAAGACAATTTCATTCATCAGTTGTGCAATTTAAGTAACATCAACAATGAATTATGCTCAACATTTAATGATAGTCTTTGGTAAACACAAATATTACAAGATAAGATAGGGGCAGCCATTTTTCATGCCTGAAGAAAAGGGACCGTGGCATGGAGGGCCAGACAAAAAAAACACTAATGCGATCTCAGAGAGCACGTCAAAAGAGTCATTAATCTCTTTCCCATTAAAGCATCACGGCTCTGGTTTAGCCTCCCCACATTTACAAAGCAGTACGAATAGAGAAAACATTTTAATTTTCTGTCGGGGTCCAGACACGGGACAACGCTGGAGGGGATCTGCCCAGGAGCTCTCTTTGGATCAGTTCTAAATGCAATTACAACACATTGATTTTCTATAATGAATCTATGCCTGTGAGTGCTATCACTGCCAGATCAGCGTGAGCTTATGTTTGTTAGACACATTCAGATGCACATATACACACTTCAGACAAAGTGTCTGTGGTTCAATTGAGGGAAATATCTGTGTGTGAATACACGAATGATAAGGCGGCCTGATAGATCTGTGGCAGCCATGACCGATCTCCAGCCGCCACTGATAGGCATCTCCAGCATCTAGAGCGAGTGTTTGTGTTGGTAAAGGAGGATAAATAAATGAAAGAAGAACTGAGCCTCTCGCGCCCCTCATCCCTCTCACCTTCCCTCTTTCCCTCTATCTATCCCATCCTGCAGGATTGGGGCTAAGCAGGCTTTTCAGCCTGGAAAATAAAAGCCGCTTCTTTCTGGTTGTTGTCTTTAGGAAGGCTGTCTGAGACAGGAGAAAATCGCAGAGGGAGAGGCCGATGATGTTATAGATTAAGTGGTGCTGATGTTTTCATTGCAGAAGATTCAGGGCTTGAAGCACACACACAAAGAGACATACACATTCATGGGTTTGACCAAATAATATCCATATAAGTCATTCTATAATATCTAAATCATTTCCCTGTATAAGGAAAAATATGAGGGTGGCAGGAGTGTGCACAATAAGGTCCAAACACAGAGCACCAACACAAAAAACAAGGGCAATATTGTTTGAAAAATCATTCATTTTTGGCCAGTTTTTTGGCTGATTTATTGCTTTTTGTTTAACCTGAAGCTCACTAGCACATTTCCAGTGCTTTTGATTAGTCAAAGTCACAATACAAATAACTGTCATTTTAATTTCATGAATGAAGAATCAGCTGCCTTTTTAACTAACATGAACCAAATGAAGTGGTACATTGAAAGTAAGAGGGAACTAGCACAATGAGTTATGCATAATGCACTTACCTACCTAACACTGTTTTTGTAATAAAATGTACAATTGCAACACAGACTGGCTAAAATCATAATAATAAACAACAAAATCCAACTGCGACAAAATCTGCCCATTCCAATTTTGATTTTAATCGTGATCCCTTGATAACAAAAGCATGTTATAATTTTATATGAATTATGTCTTATATGCAGCTCATTGAAACAAGAAGGAGGAAATCTGTTAAAAGACTGGATTGACGCAAATAAAAAAATCTGGAAGTACAGATTCAAACCTGTTGGTACAGAACATAAATCGATTATATTTTATGTAACTTTTTACCATCATTTACTATTATTTATTTAGTGTATTTACTAAATGCAAACTGAATGCTTCCACAGTCCACAGGCTAGCCACGGTGAGATCTGAGGTGGTCATTAAGTAAAGCCACACGCTTCAGCAGCCTCGTGCCGCTTCTCCAAGCAGGTGTCTTGCCATTGTTCTTTCATGCTCCATTGGTTTTACACTTGAACTCTTTTCTCTCCCCTCCTTGACCTTCTTGCACTGGCTATAAAAGCGACGTAGCTGCCCACCCCTTCAATAAATTTATCACCTCTTAAAATATAACCAGAGCTTTCAATGGAATGTATCTTGGAAGAGAGATTCTTTGTTATCTACAGTGTGAAGTTACCCGTGTTGAATTAACGCCTATAGCATTTGTTGAAGTTCAGCTGAACACACAGTATGGGACTTAATTCAAGGCTGTGTGTGGCTGTTCACTCATCTGAAAGGTTCTTCATAGTTCTGGTACTGATATTCATTCTCGTGATGGAAAACGCACTACATATGAAAGCATGCTAATTCAAATGTTAGAGATTCATTCAAGAACCTTTAAAAGAATGTGCTCGGACTTTTTAGGGTTTTGAGAGAACTAAAACAGAAGAATTTTTAAATCAAAGATCTGTGCTAATTTCTTGCTGCAAGGTATGTTGGCTGTGTAGGTTCTTTTGTTGGTGTGATTGAGGTGAGGAATCATTCGCTCTGTGTGTGGAGTATTATATGGAGAATACCACAATAATTGTATACTGTTTTAATGTGAACATATAAACTTGCTGCATCCTCTGTACAGTTTTCAGTATTTTTTTCATTTTGCTTAAAATACGGTTAAAATCACTACTACTTTTGGAAGTAGGTCTCCTGATGGTTCAAACACATGCAATATTTAATGGCAGATGTGGAGTCTTACCTTTTTGATGCAACTGTCCTGAGACGACGCTTCATGATCATTCAGCATTTGCTGTGAAAAGAAGGAAACAAAGATTAAATTAAATATAGCATGAGATCCGCAGTTTCACTGCACATTCTGCACAAGAATGAACAGAAAACACAAGAGGATAAAGGTATTAATCAATTCATATGAATTTATATAGTACATTAGGTTCGTTCAAATGAAGACAATCAGGCAAGACATGTTTAGTGTCCCAAGTTTGCTTCTTTAGGTCAAAAGTACATTGCATTGCTCAAATACTTTGAGCAGCCAAATTGAATTTTGAATTTGCATACTTTTGTCCATTTGACAACAGTTTGTCATACAGTGTCAGAAAACCATTTAAACAAGTATTTGAGATCACTTAACAAAGCTGTAAAACAAATAAAACACCGGAAATATCGCTTTTGTGCAACTACAACAATCAAATTCTAAATATGATTTCTTGCCAAACTGTTTTTTGCCAGTCCTATCAAACTAAAAGTCTTGCCAGTGATATATTCAGAGACTCTGGTGACAGCCTCTTTAACTACCAGAGGAGTTATGGCTGTCCCTGTTGGCCTTAGTAAAATGGATTAGCATGTGGAACTGGAGCTTCCTTGGTGCTACCCTGTTTCTATCACTATATAAAAGCAGCATACTGCCTTCATTGCTGGACGCATGCATTTTTTTCTGACGAAGTGCATAAGTTTATACAGACTGCACTTTCTTTCCAGAGTGCATTTTTTTGCTTAATTAGGTAAATTGTAGCATTTTCAGCTTTGCTAGATTAGTTCATTTTCATAGCAAATAAATCCAACAAAAGCTTTGAGAGGTCATGTTATCAGAGAAAATGTTAGAAGCCTCTTTTTGGCATTGATGTGGGGGTAATCAACCCACACAAATAACAGTTTTATATCTTATGAAAATGTCATTTGCTGTCTGCTAAAATAATCAAATTCCATTCAAAAACTGTGAAAATGTATCACCATGGTGGTTGGGTTTAGATTTTAAGCGGGCCTGAAACCTGACAACTACAGAGCATAATGTAGCAACTGAGTGATGGGACAGGAGTCCATCGTTTGACCCATGGACACTCCCGAACACTTTCCTGTCTGGCCCACAGAGCCTGAAGACCACTCTTTGTGTGATGAAATGAAAGACTCATTGATTTGACATTAACTCACGGGAGCAGGAAATTTTGGTGAGCGCAGACAGTCGGAGGAGAAGATGTGGAATTAGGGGCCTTGGGGAGTATTTATCTAGCGAGGGGCCGGGTGAGAATGTGGCCAGTGTCTTCCAGGGATCTGATGAGAGGCCAGCCTGTTTTCAGGTTCGGGAGATAATGGTAGCTCGTGTGAGCGCAGCACTCTTTCTGTGTCGTTCATTCATTCGTGGCAGGGGAGGAGAGGAAGAGGGTTGTGCTTTGGGATTATTGGGCTGTGTTACAGGGGTACACACTGATCCCCTTAGCCCAAACCCACCTCCTTTTCCTGTCTCATCTTCTGAATGGAAGACGTGTTAGGGTGGGGAAAGGTCTGTGGTCATTAATGTCATCCCTTACTGAACTTGACTCGGTAAAATTCTCCAACTGTACTCAACATTATTAAAGCTGAAAAAAAAAATCACAGATGAAGCTGAACAGAGAACAAAAACTGTCAACAAGTTAACCCTTACAAGAAGCAGTTATCACTTTTACTACTACTACTATTACTACTTTTCACATGTAGCTCACTGAAGTAAGCAGAGAAATTCTGCTGTAAATGTGGATGCACTCAATCATCTTTCAACATATAGCACATTTGTGTTTAGAAGTAAAACAGGAGGTATTTCAATTCAGTCTGAATTTGAGGAAAACTGTACATATAGACCTTTTTCTGTAGAAAGAAAAACCATCCTTTAGATTTTCTTCATTGTTTGGCACTAAAAAAATGAAAAAAAAAAGTCGGAAGTGCAAACTTTAAGCTTGCAATACAGAATGTAAATCAAGTGTTAATGTAATTAGTTATGTAATAATGTATTTACATTTAAATAATTATGCCATATAAACTGAATGTATAGCAAAGTGACAGTGCTATTGCTACACTTCTATGGAATAATTTTTGTTTCATTTTATTTGAGTACAAAGAAAATATGTTTTATAATAATGCGTTTAATCTCCACTTATGTTACTGAAAATGCTTATCTGCATTTTCATGAAAAAGCTGAAAAGAAGTGTGGCCACAAATGGAAAGGTGAAAACACAACCCATCTGCCTAATGAAAGAAAATCTTAAAATGAGGTAAAAAGGCCATCTAAACCCCCACAAACTTAGGGAAAGAGTGAAAAAAAACAAAAAAAAACAACCGTCTATGTGTGTGAATGCATGCTTTTACAGGTCTCCCGGCACCTCCTTTATCAGAGTTTGATTGACAGCTGTGCGCGCTGCCCAAACGCTGTGGTTCCCTAAATTAGGCCGTCAATGTATCCAAGCCGACCGAGTGGAAGCAATTACATCACAAATACTCAAACAAGTCTACTTAAACTACTTACATACATAATTCAATCCTGTAGCCATGTCAGGGCCGCACAAATCCAAAACAACGTTATGGTGCCGGCGTATTCGAATGACACATTTTAAACAAGCATGGCGCAGAATCCCAACCGAATAACTGCAGCTGCCTTTTTTTTCATTTCTTTCATTTTCTACACCGCACCATATGCAAGCTATTCTCCTAGCGCACACTGGCTGCCCAACACTGCGCGCACACACACACAGACGCACACTTAATGCATGTTTATAAATGTGTGTAGTATAATTACGCTGCAGTCTGCTGCTAGTACTGCCAGATCCCAGCTCTCTCTGTACCACAGAGAGAGAGAGAGAGAGAGAGAGAGAAAGAGAGAGAGAGAGAGAAAGAAAAAGAGAGAGAGTATGGGCAGCTGCAACAGTTTACAAACTTTGTTTAGACGGCAAACGCCCCCAAACGTTCTCAGGTAGGCCCCCCTCTCTCTATAGCAGGCCAAGCATAAATGTGTGTATCGAACTATGCAAGGGCTACCAGAAATTCCATCAGACATGTGAAAACATAAAATGCCTCACTGATGCCTTAATGTCTTTCAGACTGGAATTACGTGGTGTCTTCGACCTCCCACATCTGACACCATTCCTGGTCAAACTGGCTTTTGGATTTGTTTGAGTTTGCTCAAGTATTTAATTAGGGGTCGATTCTGATTCGTTTCCTTACAAGAAGAAACAAGACCTGGAAAATGGAGAGAAAATAACATCCACACTAAAGTAAACTTGAGTGAATAAGTGATGAATTGAATTACAAACCTCAATTCCAAAAATGTTGGGGCAGCCCGTGAAACACAAATAAAAACAGAAAGCAGTGATTTGAAAATCCATTTTGACTTGTTTTATTTAACCCATTAAAATCCCAGGCTTATCCCATACTAAGACTTATTATTCAGTAAAGGGACTTTAATGCATACTGGTTAAGCTATTTTTAGATTATAGAATTGTGTAATAAAACTTTGGCCCTGCCGATGAGCCTTGGCCATTTAAAACAAGATAATGTTTTTTCCTTATCAGCTTCATTGTTTTTTTGTAAATATACACTCATTCTGGAATTGATGCCTGCAACACATATCTAAAAAGTTAGGACAGAGGTCATTTAAGACTAGAAATATTGTGAACGGTTCAAAACACAACAGGTATTGCAATCACGCTTGGATGTAAAATGAGCATTCAGGATATGCCTAGTCCTTTAAGAGCAAAGATGGGTGGAGGCTCACCACTTTGCCAAACAATGTATGAGTAAATAATTCAACAGTTTAAGAACAATGTTTCTCAAACAATTGTGAGCATTTTAGATATTTCACTCTCTACAGTGCATTTTGTCATCAAAAGATTCAGGGAATCCATATAATTATTTGTGAGCAAAGGACAAATTCAAAAACACTACTGAATTCCTTTGATCCCTCAAATGGCACTGCAGCATGCTTCTGATAGATGTTATCACATAGGTGCGGGAATACTTGGACAAACCATTGTCAATAAACAGTTGGTTGCTGTTTACAAAAACGCAGGTTAAAAATGAATTATGTATGGATGAAGCTGTAAGTCAACAACATCCAGATTTCCTAGGTCCAAGCTCATCTGTAATGAACAATGCACAGTGGAAATGTTTATTGTGGTCTGACAAGTCAACCTTTCAAACTGTTTATGGAAATAATGGATGTCGTGTTCTTCAGGCCGAAGCTAAAAAGGACTATCCAGATTGTTACCAGCATAAAGTTCAAAAGCCAGGGTCTGTCATGGCATGGGGGTGTATCTGCGAAGGCCCCATTAGCACTAAAAAAGGTATACAGACATTTAGGAGCAACATATGCTGCCTGTTAAACAATGCAGAATTTATTTTTCTTCTTTCTATTAATTACTTTCTGGTTTTTTTAGTATTTCATATGTCACAACTTTTGTTTAAAATTAAGGTTTTTAATGGTGTGTACCTGCATTAGTTTGAATGTCACTTAAAAGAACTGAATGCTGAGTGTGCAATAGTGTTTTGATAGAGAACCTATTTATTTTAGATGATTGTAAAATCTTGAATGTAGAGTAACGAGGTTCCATTTTTAGAGGTTGTGTATATGTGTATGTGTGTGTGTGTGTGTGTGTGTGTGTGTGTGTGGTTACCTGTACTTGCCCCAACACTCAGGCGAATAAATGACTTAATGTCAGAGTGTGAGGGCTGTATGTGTATGTGCGCATTTCGAGCAAATAAATAATGTATTAATTAGATGGTTGGAAAGAATGATTTGCCACAAGAGTTGGTATGATTTATGACATGTCAGAATCATTTCAAAGTGACTTTTCCTGATTTTTTTCTTTTCTTTTTCATGACAGGACAATTTGTGCCAGGCACAGTCCGGTTTTCCCAAACAGACATAAAATGCACAATTGAACCTCTCAGAAACCTCCTCACGACGTTTGCTTACACAAGCGTGTCACTGCTTCTTATGTAAATGAAAAACTGTGAAGCTCTGGTGATTAGCGTGTCACGCTGACAGTG